ACTTATCACATAATGTGGAGTGTCACGAAATTCTTTATTACAGGAATGATTTGTATAAGCAAAGATTGCGCGTTGGTCACCACCGAGAACGGTTGCATGTTCATGGTGAACGCGGAAGGTGACCAGTTTTCAACAACGAAGCTGGACAACAAATCGTCGCAAGCTAATTTACGGCATTTGGGCCTGGCGCGTTCACCGAATTCTGTGATTTTAATAAACGTGACTGTACCGGCCACTACGTACGATCATTTGTCAGTGAAAGAACCGAGCAAAATGCAAGTATTCGTTTTAAAAAACGAAGAGTGGAATCCTTTATCTCTTCTAACGAGGCTCAAGAATGAGAGGTTCAAGCATGCGTGGGACTGTTTAGAAGTGCTCAGGATTAGAGCGACACGGGTATCGGACCCGCAAGAAGTATTACCGAAGCTACCCTCGAATTTGAAGTCTCTAACTCTACACGAGCTACGAATCGCTATGTGGACCTCGATGATGATAGAGATATGTGATAAGAAAAAGATAATCCAGGGAATAGGGAGTATCGTCGGAGAAATATCCGACGCTCAACCGTTGATATTTCTCTACACTGCCTGCGATTATCTCGCTATCCTGGAACGTAAAGCGTTTATATCCACAGAACAGACACTTTCTGTTAGTTTATTAAAACATCACTTGAACACGTATTTAGCTAAAAATAATGACGATTCTCAGCTTTCGAATCTTGTTAGAACTACTTTAAGTAAACTATCCCGATTCGATTCTAGTCACAAAGAGACTTGCAATTTATGCGGAATAACGATAGAAAGTCCGTCCTGGAAAGTGACCATGTGCTCGCAAGGTCATTTATTGCCCAGATGCGCGATCACTCTTTTGCAAATAACTATGATGAATTATAAAAAGTGCCCAATATGTGGTTTAATATTTCATCACTGTTTGGAGGATGTATATGGAGAAACGAGATGCCTCTATTGCGATGTACCCGCGTTGGAAGATAATAGGCTTATAGGTTCAAGATCTGTACCTGTAGATAAAAGTTTGTCAAAACCGCGGGGTAATAATCTGGAGAGTATAGGTGATCAGGAGACGAAGGCAGCAATGGATGAAACCTGTTAATTCATATAATTTAATGTAAATTTCGCAAGAACAAATAAAATAAGCTCTTCTCATTTTTATGAAATTTTGTACAGAGTGTATAAAAATTATATATATATGTTTTGAGATGTTGAATTCAAGAGGCCACATGTATATAATGCTCTCACAGGAGTCACAGGTGCAATAAAAATATGTACCTAGATCATAGATAGGCGAACGCGGAGAAAGATCAAATTACAAAAAGACATTGTCCTTTCGGCCAATAAACTTGTTTTTGCCTAAATAGGAAAAGAATTATATCCAGTCTTTATTTGCATAATACCTTTTCTCCTCACATTCGAAACTCATTTAGACATTCTCCTAATAAATATTAGGAATTATAGTTTTATTAGGTTTTATATTTCAATAGTCGGCATGTCTGATACATTCTATCATCAGGTGGCGATAGTTACGCTTTTATTTAGAAACCAGTTAGCAACGTTAGCAAGTTCCAAGTTCCAAAATTCCAAACGTTCCAAACATCCATTGATCCAAATTGATCCAAACCACCAAACCGCACGTCACGCGTCGCACGCGTTGACTGGCATTGACCACACGCAAGCACACGTTTGAGAAAATATCAGCTGAAGAAACTATCGTAAAGTGTACAAGGTTACTTCGAGATCATTAATAATCGTCTTATTAACGATTTTGAATTTGTCTGATAATAATAACTGTTTGCACACGTTGAAATTCCTGTCAGTCGAAGAATATTCGACTTTACATGAACTTGCAATCGTTAAACGATGGAGGCATTTTTTACTTAGTTGAAAAATGCTTTTTTGTTAAAATCGTATATAATTCTTTTTATCATCATGTCTTCTAAAAAAGTTAAGGAAGGTAAGGGTCATGAATTCAATAACAATAGATATTTGTATATCAGGCAAATACGCGAGGCACTAAATAGACTAGAGAAATCAATGAAATGGTCATCGGATCATAATAATCAGATCTCTGAACGGAAAAAGCGTTTTATATTTGAGAATCTGTTATACACTACATCATCCGATGAAACCGACCCTGAAGGAAAATTTGTTCAGGCATATACAAGCAGAAAACTGACAAAACCTGATAAGCACAACTTAAAGAAAGATAGAAAAAGAAATTACACCAAAGTGATGAATGATAACAGTAACAGGGTAGAGTCAGATTCAGATTCCAGCGATTCTGAGGATGACATTAACGATAAACGTGCTGAAAGGAGAAAGAGAAGGTTCTTAACGTTGAAGTTGAAGGAGAAGAACTTGACCACATTGCATAGAGATGATATTGGATCCAGTTCCAGCAAAGAATTCCAGAAGTCGAAGATCTCTCACGTCGGTTCAAATGTGATGAAAAAACTGGCTCAAAGCCAAAAGCAGAATCGTATGACGTCCACCGATTCGAATTCTGAATCTGTGAATGAAAAGATCTTTACAGAAAGATTCAGTGATAAACAGAATATATTTTTCAAGTCTGGCATTAATAAAATTATGGACAAAATGAAGGAGCTTTGCTCAGACTATGAGCTGCAAATAGATAATATTAAATGCAAACATTTGAAGAAGGATATGCGACATTATGACTCAACAGAGAAAGTATTCAGAAAATTGATGAAGGTGATCGAAAATGTGAAAGAGGAGATAGACGTGCAAGAAAATGAGTTAATAAATTTCTATGAGGACTGGGAGAAGAATCGTCGCTCGGAAAACGCGGAACATGAAGACAGCTCGCCGAGCGAGGCTGTAGAATCAAAAGCAGCGGTGGACAAGAAGGAATCAGAGAAATTAAAGAATGTTTCTCGAGTGACACCCTTAGTCTCTGAGTGTGACAACGAGGTTTTGGGCAACGAGGCGCAAGCGACGGAAAAAATATCAATATATGATGACAGCGACCAGAGTGACGCTTCATTGATTTTGGTAAATAGAACTATAACAGACAAAATCTTGCCGGTCAAGACAGATTTAACAGAGCAAGCGAAATTAGCTGATGAAACTAGAGGCCAACAGGAAACATCTCAAGACTGTCTAGCTTCTGACATCATAATTCTGGACGTGTCCGAGGACGATATACATGATGATACCACAATAGAAAACGTAACTCCTTCGCCAGAAATCAAAGATGAAAGCGATAATGAATCACAGACGAATGTTACTTTAGATAACAACGAAAATGATTCCATGATTGACGAGAAGAAACGTAAAAGGAAGGGTTCGTCTGATAATGTCGAAGGATTAGAAAAGACACGTGAAAAAGAAATAGACAGTTTTTCGAACACGCTCGACGAAGTGGAGCGGCCTAAAAAGGCTTTGTTAACTTTGGATTCGGATGCGCCTCCAACTATGTTAGTTAACGATATAACTATAACTGTAAAACCAAACGAAAACGATAACTTTAAGAAAACGGAATCGTCGGGAACGGTGAAACCTGATAAAAAGACCAAAAAGTACAGCAGGCAAAATGAATTTGAAGATAAATGGCTGGAAGATATGATCCAGATTATAGAGGCAGAGTCTCTTGCTGTTCGTATGCTTTTCGAATCGAACTCAGATGATTCTTTAAGTTATACCGAGAAACCCATATTTAAAAGAAGTTTGAAAAGGAAATTAAATTCGATCGTTAGCAGCGCTGATTCAGATTCCGACGATGACAGTAACTTGAATGGTAAGGAACAAAATTCCTTAAAGAAAGAACAAAAGAAAAATAAAAGACCTTCGTCTTCGATTGAGAAACAAGGTAATAGTAACAGGGATTTGAACTCCAACATTAGTAGCGAGACGAGCATCGGAAAAAGGCATTCTTTAAGAAAAAAGAATGCTGAAAGTAAGAAAGTTTCGACGTCCCTTAAAATGCTACTAAATAATAAGTTGAAGAATTTGATTGAATCGGACAAAATATTTTCTAGCATGGTTGTTCTGGAGAGGTTACCAAAAAGCGCACTAAGAAAGCATCACAACACGTTGGAAAAGTCACGGGAATACTTGGAAAGCAAAGAATATGGAAGTTTAGTCAGTGTAGATAATCTGAGAAGAAACACTAGAAGCAGGAGCTTGTTGCGAAGCTCACAAATCACTCAGCTATGTAGAAACTCGAATAGTAAGAGCAAAGAAGTGGAGGAAACGTTATTAGATCATTTAAAAAGAGTCGAAGAAGGGGACTTCAATGAAGCCATAGGAAACGATGCTGTTTCTGATCCCGAAAATGACAATACAGTTACGAAATCCGATACATCTATGCAAAGCAACAAAGATTCGATCAAAAAGGCAGACACTGTTACAAAGAAAATGCTTTTGTATTCGTCGGATTCGGATGCTCCCATCGAGAAGAAAGTCTCGTCTGAAAGCGACGAAGAGAAAAATATGAATGAATCGGGAAAACCTGCAGAGAGACCAAGCGCGAAATCAACGCAGGAAGACAGTGACAAGGAAAATGACGAAAAACGGGAGAAGAGTAGATTGAGGTGGCATAAATTATCGACGATGAAGATTATTTCCGACTCAGACTCGGATGTTGATAGACAGAAATGGGATAAAAGGAGGAAAAATAGGCAGACTGCGAAAAATGATCAGGCAGAGGATTCTGAGAGTAATAACGATTCCGTCGTGAAACATAAACCTAGAACTCGTCGAATAATTATGGATTCGGATGATTAGAACGTCAAGTCTGGCCCTGACTCGAGTACTTAGTTCCGTAGAATTATTACAGAACAAATCGTCGGACAGCGAAAAGTATGTCGAGCTACATCAAGTATTCTAACGCAACTCCAGAGATGCAATAAATATTGATGATCCACTCGTTGGCAGAAATGTACAAGTACTGGGAAAAACAGACTATGCATAATGTCATGAAGCAACTACTCGAGTAGGTAATTTAGTCATTGTTAACAGTTTATTAAGTATTAGAAATTAGAAATGATAATATCAATCGAATAATATGTTTGACCATACAGAACCAATATACAAATTTGAGATCAATTAGACTGAATCCAGTAATGTTAAATCGGTTAGATTACGCGGTGCCGAATATAAACGCGAATATGTCAAATCAACCAAATAGGACCACCAGTAGACAAGCAGACGACGATTATGTTGTAGAGGTAATACTTTGAATTTTACATAGATAGCGAACAGAGATGATGATAATAGGTGAAACTGACTCTATCTAATTTCAGGTCACTTGTACGAGTAACCTTCTCCAATGTCTTTTTAATCAATGTTGAAGTTCTCCAGCTCATTCATTTACACCCCTTTAACACTAACGACAGATTTTTTCTGCACTAAGTTAAGATTGAAAATTTTGCGCTTGGATTATGAAGCATTTATGAAGCATACTTGATCTACTTCTTCTGTTGTGTGGACAGTTGACTCGAGACCTATCATTCCTTTGAAACTTTTGTTCTTCGTGATTAGTACTGTACGATACAGTATATGAAAAATTATTAACCTTTTGATCTTATATGTACATATGTTTGTATGTACAAATTATACAAGCGATGGAGATATTTATTTTTACTTAATTAAATGACATTTTTGTTCAAATCGTACATTATTGTTTCTGTATAGTTATATCTTCTACTAAAAAAAGAGGAAAATGTCACGAATCCAATAACAATGTAATTTAATATAAAATTTATACAAATAAAGAAAAATCTTCACACGAGTCTTCGAAGTATTTTGAATAAATGGTTTCGTATTTAAATAGTCGGCATGTCTGACACATTCTATCATCAGGTGGCGATAGTTACGCTCTTATTTAAAGCCCAAAATAAATACTGTGCATTAGAAGTTTCAAACATCGAAACCGAACGAGTTCTGATTTAACATTCGTATGCAGCAGTTCTTTACTTGATTCGACAGATTTTTATGGTAATAATTCGTGTCCGACGACGATCTCGAACGGTCGCAATGGACGTTTAAGAAAATGTCGGCTGAAGAAACTGTATCGGAAAGGGTTCCAGGTTACTTCGAGATCTTTGCTAATCACCTTATTAACGATTTTGAATTTGTCTGATAATAACTGTTTACACACGTTGAAATTCCTGTCAGTCGAAGAGTATTCGACTTTACATGTAATTGCAAACGTCAAACAATGGAGACATTTTTTACTTAGTTGAAAAATACTTTTTTGTTAAAATCGTATATAATTCTTTCTGTCGTTATGTCTTCTAAAAGGGTTAAGGAAGGTAAGTGTCATGAATTTAATAACAAGGAACCTTTTTATATCAAGCAAAGACGCATGGCACTAAATAGACTAAAGGAATCAATGAAACCATTATTGGATGATAATAACACCTCTGAACAGAAAAAGTCTTCTGTATTTAAGAATGACTTAGACACTACATCATCCAGTGAAACCGATCCTGAAGGGAAGTTTGCTCAGTCACATACAAGCAGGGAACGGACGAAACTTGATAAGCATAACCTAAAGAAAGATAGACGAAGTAGTTACATCAATGTGAGAAATGATAAAAGTAAAAGGATAGAATCAGATTCAGAGTCCAGCGATACTGAGGATAATATTAATGATAAACGTGCTGAAAGGAGAGACAGAAGGATCTTAATGTTGAAATTGAAGGAGAAGAACTTGAACACTTTGCATAGAGATGATACTGGATCCAGTTCCAGCAAAGAATTTCAGAAATCGAAGATCTCTCACGTCGGTTCAAATGTAATGAAAAAACTGGCTCGAAGCCAAAAGCAGAATCGTATGACGTCCACGGATTCGAATTCTGAATCTGTGAATGAAAAGATCGCTACAGAAAAGCTCAGTGATAAACAGAATATATTCTTCAAGTCTGGCATTAATAAAATTATGAATAAAATGAAGGAGCTTTGCTCAGAATATGAACTGCAAGTGGATAATATTAAGTGGAAGCATTTGAAGAAGGATATGCGAAATTATGACTCGACAGAGAAAGTATATAAAAAATTGAAGACGGTGATCGAAAGTATGAAGGAAGAGCTTGACGTGCAAGATAAGAAGCTAATAAATTTCTACGAGGACTGGGAGAAGAATTGTCGATCGGAGAACACGGAACATGAAGACAGCTCGCCGAGCGAGGCTGAAGAATCAAAAACAGCGGTGAACGAGAAGGAATCGGAGAAATTAAAGAATGTTTCTCAAGTGTCACCCATAGTCTCCGAATGTGACGACGAGATATTTTCCGGCAACGAGGCGCAAGCGACGTTAGGAAAAAATGATAAAAATAAAATCGAAAATCTTCCTACTATTGCAGAAATATCAATGAATGATGACAGCGATCAGGTTGATGCTTCACCGATCGTGGCAAATAGAACTATAAGAGACAAAATATTGCCGGTCAAGACAGATTTAACAGAGCAAACGAAGTTAGCTGAGGAAACTGGAGATCAAAAGGAAACATCTCAAGAGTGTCCAGCTTCTGACATCCTGAGTCTGAACGTGTCCGTGGATGATATATTCGATGAAACCACAATAGAAAACGTATCTCCTTCGCCAAAAATCAAAGATGAAAGCGATAATGGATCAGAGACGGATGTTACTTTAAATAAAAACGGAAGTGATTCCATGATTAACGAAAGGAAACGCAAGAGGAATAATTCGTCTGATACTGTCGAAGGATTAGAAAAGTCACGTGAAAAAGAAATGGACAGTTTTTCGAACACACTCGACGAAGAAGAGCGGGCTAAAAAAGCTTTGTTAACTTCGGATTCAGATACGCCCCCAATTACGTTAATTAACGATATAACTACAACTGTAGAATCGAGCGAAAACGATAACATAAAGGAAACGGATGCTACAGAAACAATGAAACCCGATAAAAAGAGGAAAAAGTATAATAACAGGCAAAATGAATCCGAAGATAAATCCCCGGAAGATTTGACCAAAATTATGGAGGCTGAATCTCTCGCTGTCCGTATGCTTCTCGAATCGAACTCAGATGATTCTTTAAGTCATTCCGAGAAACCCATATTTAAAAAGAGTTTGAAACAGAAACTAAATTCGACCGGTAGTAGCGAAGATTCAAGTTCCGACGACGACAGTAATTTGAATGGTGAGAAACAGAATTCCTCAAAGGAAGGACAAAAGAAAAATGAAAGACCTTCGTCTTCGATTGAAAAACAAGATAACAGCAGCAAGGACTCGAACTCCAACATTGATAGCGAGTCGAGCATCGGAAAGAGGTATTCTTTAAGAAAAAAGAATGCTGAGAATAAGAAAGATTCGACATCGCTTAAAATGCTAGTAAATAATAAGATGAAGAATTCGATTGAATCGGACAAAATAATTTCTTGCAAGGTTGTTCTAGAGAGATTACCGAAAAGCGTACTAAATAAGCATAACAACACGTTGGAAAAGTCACGGGAATACTTAGAAAGCAAAGAATTTCGAAGTTTAATCCGTGTAGATAATCTGGGAAGAAACACTAGAAGCAAGAGCTTGACGCGAAGTTCAAACATCACTCAGTTATGTAGAAACTCGAAAAGTAAGAGCAAAGAAGCGGAGGAAACGTTATTGGATCATTTAAAAAGAATCGAAGAAGGGAACTTCGATGAAGCCGTGGGAAACGATGCTGTTTCTGATCCCGAGAACGATAATACAGTTATGAAAACCGATACCACTATGCAAAGCAACGAAGATTTGATCAAACAGGCAGACGCTGTTACAAAGAAAATGCTTTTGTATTCGTCGGATTCGGACGCTCCTATCGAGAAGAAAGTCTCGTCTGAAAGCGACGAGGAGAAAAATATGAATAAATCGGGAAAACCTGTGGAGAAACCAATCGCGAAATCAACGCAGGAAGACAGTGATAAGGAAAATGACGAGGAACGGGAGAAAAGTAGATGGAGGAGGCATAAACTGTTGACAATGAAGCTTACCTCAGATTCAGACTCGGATGTTGCTAGACAAAAATGGGTTAAAAAGCAGGAAAAGTTGGCAGAGACTGCGAAAAATGATCAAGCAGAGGATTCGGAGAAGAATAACGACTCCATCATGAAACGCAAACCGAGAACTCGTCGAAAAATTATGGTTTCAGATGATTCGGATGTCAAATCTGACCCTGACTCGAATAGTTCCGTAGAATTACTAGAGAATAAATCGTCGGATAGCGATTCTTCAGTGGGAAAACGGAAGAAGGGAAATAAGCGCAAAATGCAAAAATCATCCGACTCAGATTCGATGACAGTTAAAAAAAAAACCAAACCCAAACGAAAGCGTATTAAAAATATGTCGAGCGATAGCGATGCAGAGAGCGATGATCAAATGACCAATTCTCAAGGAACGCCCGGTAAGAAAGGTCGCAAAAACATCCGGAAAGTGATGGAAGAGGAACTGGTTGCGGATGATACCAAGTTGGCCGCAAAAGCAGAGGAGGAGAGGCTTAAACGTATTGCGGAGAGACAGAAGGTGTACAACGAAATGTACGAAGCTAGACTGGCTAGCGAGGAAAAGGTGGATAAACTAGTATTAGATTTCGATCCGGACACGAAGAAGGAGCTAGTAACCGTTCACGAGAAGCTGGTCAAACGTCTGAAACCGCATCAAGCCGAAGGGATAAAGTTCATGTGGGACGCGTGTTTCGAATCGCTCGAGAGAATAAAGACTTCACCTGGCTCCGGATGTATAATCGCGCATTGCATGGGACTGGGGAAGACGCTTCAGGTGATTGCGTTGGTGTACACGCTACTAACTCACGAGCAGACCGGCGTCAAAACTGTGTTGATCGTCTCACCGCTGAACACGGTACTTAACTGGTTAAACGAATTCAATTTATGGTTGAAGGACCTAGACGACTACAATGATGTGGACGTGTACGAGATGACAAAACTTAAAAAGAACGTCGAGCGTGTTTACCAATTACAACATTGGCACGAATCCGGCGGCGTAATGATCATCGGCTACGAGATGTTTAGGAATCTCAGTGCGAATAACAACAGAATGAGGAAGAAGATGAGAGAAGATACTCTGAGGTATTTGATAGATCCCGGGCCAGACTTGATAGTTTGCGACGAGGGGCATTTACTAAAAAACGAGGACACTGCTCTGAGCAAATCCATAAAACGTATTAAGACTCTACGGAGGATCGTTCTCACAGGAACGCCGTTGCAGAATAATTTGAATGAGTACCATTGCATGGTACAGTTCGTGAAACCCAGCTTACTTGGTACGAAGGCGGAATTCTCAAACAGATTTGTGAATCCGATTACTAATGGCCAGTTCGATGACTCTACGGAGTACGACGTTAAATTAATGAAGAAACGGGCGTATGTATTAAATAAGATGTTGAAAGGTTGCGTGCAAAGATGCGATTATTCCGTGTTGACACCGTTTTTACCACCGAAACAGGAATACGTGATATTTGTCAGCCTAACGGAAACGCAAATCAATTTGTACCGATATTATTTAAATCATCTCGCGAGGTACGTGAAACAATTAATTAAACGTTTCGGGGTATACTGGATGTTAAATGTTATTTTTTATTGATTTCAGAAAGGGCCGTTACACGGCAACTCTTTTCGCCGATTTCCAAGCGTTGCAAAGGATATGGACCCATCCCCTCGTTTTGCGGATGAACTCCGAGAAAATCGAAAAGTTGAACGAGAAAAAACTAGACTCCGAATCTGAAGGATCTTTAAAGGACTTCATCGATGATTCTGACACAGAATCTGGAAAGAGTAGCAGCAGCTCTAGTAGTGTCTAGTAAGTGCAAAAGTTTTGATACAAATTTTATTTAAATATTATACCACAGGGTTGCAAATAATCGATTAAGTCTTTAATTCACTTGAACATTAATTACGTTTAATTCTTAGCTGAATTTTATCTAATTAGAAATTAAATTTCAATTATTAGATAAGAATTTTTTTAATTAAGAATTAAAGTCCAATTTATAATTCACATTAACGATTAAACTTTAGCCTTTAGTTCAAAGATGTTCAATCAAAATTGAATTTTCAATTCCATTCATGCGGTAATTAAAATTCTGCAACCGTGACAGTATTCCCTCGGGAAATATGACTACAGCCTGCGGATCGAATGTTCAAAAAAGTTTTCTCTAGCATTGAGGATGACGATGCAGCTCCAAACGCTGGAAAGTCACAGAACAAAACATCAAAAAGGGGTACGAGGAACACACCTGCAATAGACGTACCAGAGGAAACGGAGGAACCCGAGAAGAAGGAAGAAGAATGGTGGTTGCAATTTGTGAAGCCCGAGGATCTTGAAGACATGAGGGTTTCGGCAAAACTGATGCTGCTCTTTGGCATTTTGAAAGAATGCGAACAAATCGGTGACAAAGTGTTGGTATTCTCGCAGTCGTTATATTCGTTGACTCTGATCGAACGTTTCCTGGAGAAGATCGATGATAGCACCCAGAACAACAGCACCTCGGAGCTGATCGCTGGTCACACCGGTAGCTGGTCGTTGGGTTTGGATTATTTCCGGTTGGACGGACAAACGAACGCTGAGAACAGAAGCGCGTGGTGCAAGATATTTAACAGGCCGACGAACACGAGAGGTAGACTATTCTTAATCTCGACGCGGGCTGGTGGGCTGGGAATAAACCTGACTGCTGCCAATCGTGTCATCATATTCGACGCCAGTTGGAACCCTTCTCACGATGTCCAAAGCATATTCCGCGTGTATAGGTACGTGTCTACTGACGTGTCTTAACTACTTGCGGTGGAAAGATGTGATACGCACGTCGAGATGCTTCTGTTACCGGAACGCCAGCGACGTGTACCATACGTCGTCGGCGATTGTTGCAGAAAGAAAAATGACGTGCGTGGCACGCACAACTGTGAATTTCCTTGCACCGCAAGTGGTTAAATAAATTTAGGCTGACATTATTAATTATTACAGATTCGGTCAGAAAAAACCTTGTTACGTTTATCGATTCCTAGCAACTGGAACAATGGAGGAGAAGATTTACAATCGTCAGGTGACAAAACTGTCACTCTCTTGCAGGGTTGTCGACGAGCAACAGATAGAACGTCATTACAGTAATAATGATCTCAGCGAATTGTATACCTTCGAGCCCAAAACCGAAGATAATCAAACTTTGAATTTACCAAAGGACAGATTATTGGCAGAAATATTTTTGAAGTACAAGAACTATGTGAAAAATTATCATGAGCATGACTCCCTCTTAGAAAACAAAGTAATTTATCTATTTTATTATAATGACTACTAGCACTTAACACTATTTTATCTTACTATTATATAGATAGAAAGCGTCCGTTTGTATTTTAGGAAAAATCTAAAAAACGACTGACCAAATTTGGATTATAGCTTTCTTATATACTTTGGAGTATCGTAGTATATATGTATTTCTAAAACAAAAACTATTATTATGAGTAATAAAAATAAAGCTCTATTTTTCTGTGCATATGAGCACTGAGCAGACACGCGATAGCTATACAAGGAAGCTATATTTCCATTGTAAATGTTTTAGCCTTTTGCAGCCGCGGACGAGGCTGATATCTCTTAGATATGAAATATGAGATATGAGAAATAATATCTTTTATATATAAATTTGTTTTATTCATAGACCGAGGAAGAGTTAAACGAGGAAGAGAGAAAGCAGGCTTGGACGGAGTACGAAGAGGAAAAGAAGGGAAAACCGAAAGTGTTACCAACGTTCGCGATGCAGGGAGCATACACCCAAAATCCGTTGATGAATAATCAGTACACTCCGATACCGCAAATGAACCTAGCCACGGATTACAGTAATCTTCGAGAACTTCTTCAGAAAGATGTAAGATTATTATTCTATCGCGTACATAATTGAAAAACGATATTACTCTTCTATAATTGAAAGAGGAAATTCTAATTTGAGTATATGGAGTTACATTATTAATGGAATGTTTTACAGTATCCCAACGCAACTCCAGAAATGCAGCAAATGTTGACGAGTCGCGCGTTGGCAGAAATGTACAACTACTGGGAAAAACAGACTATGAACAATGTCACGAAGCAACTACTCGAGCAGGTAATTTAGTCATTGTTAACAATTCATTAAGCACTAGAAATAATAATCTCGAGCTAATATATGTTAGCCGATACAGAATCAAAATACAAATTTGAGAGCAGTTATATCGAATCCAGTAGCGTTAAATCGGGTAAATTACGTGATGCCGAATGTAAACGCGAATATGTCGAATCAACCAAATAGGACCACCAGTAGACAAGCGGACGACGATGATGTTATAGAGGTAACACTTTGAATTTTATGTAAAGAGAGAATGGAGGTGATGATAATAATTAAAAATGATTTTATCTAATTTCAGGTCACCTCTACGAGTACAGTGAATAACATAAATAAAAATCAAGAAGAGTAAACGAAAGAAAATATGTGGCTATTCTTTTCATATTCTTTTAAGTTTATAATCCTAGATAATGTCAGTATTAATGTAATTTATATCGATTTCAAGTAGCGTATATATTTTTGGCATCACATGAAAAGCCTTTGCAAAGCAAACTCTCGTTACATCTCCGAATTGATACATAATATTATCTAGGGCAAGTGAATTTTACTGTTTCATATGCTCAAAACAAAAGAATGGGTACAATTTTTTGAAATATTGATGGCACATAGCTATTAATTATGAAAAAAATTCCGTTATTGATTTGAATAATATAAGATTTTAATGAATATATGACATTCAGAAATTGTATTTATGTTACTAGTAGTTTAATATAAAAGTCGTAAGCATTGAGAAGATATAAATCTAGACGTTCAGTTTACATTTAATTGAATTTGTTAGAATTTTGAAAAAAATGTATATAAGGATTCCTTGGTAGAATGATACGAATTACTTGTTTTCTACTAGTTATACTAGACTCATTTTTATAATAAAGTTTTGATCAATAATACTTTCTAGGCAGAAAGTAAAGAAAATTAATTGTGTTTATTCGTCGGGAAAATTCTTCCCCAACGCTTTTCAAGAAAGCTCTTTAACTTTCCCTTCACTTTCGCGTACTTCGACAAATAGGCCACGTTCTGATTCTCACCATCCTCGTTATTATAATCGTATAGCTCCTCCGCGATCGTAGAATTCCAATCTGGTACTTTATTTTCGGCTTTAAAGGACAGCCAAGCTGTGTACCGATACCTGTACTTCCTTACCGTGTATCCCATTGCTTTGATTTCTTTTAAACACGGTTGATCGCTATTTGGATGCATCGACGGCTTTATATTTGGTCTTGGATATTGCGAAAAAGCAGCACTTTTCCAACGTACTTTGTACAATAGCTGTAAATTACAGTTGTAAGTTCGCTTCTTATAATTCTTTAAAATTATATATATTGTGGACGTTTATGGATTTACCGTTCTATTTGAAGCAGCTTTTATGAGCGGCACGAGGCTACTCCCTTCGCTACAAGTGATTTCTGTATTCCTTTTTGAGCAACTGGGTATGGGAATGTTTGCTAAGTCCGCGATAGTCGGAAATACATCAACTAATTCTATTAGAAAAGGTATAACTGTTGGAGTGTACGAAGAAGCAGGCTTATTGATTGAATCTCGTTTTTCTCTTTTAGATAGGCTGGGTATCGATATTATCAATGGTACTTTTAAAGCAACATCGTAATTGCTATATTTTGCCCATTCCGCGTGTTCTCCTAACGACCATCCTACGCAAATGTTAATTAATAAGATATCAAGTATGAATATTAATATTCACTTCTCACCATGATCTGACATTAATATTATTGTAGTATTTTTTCGAATTGACGAAGCTTCCAATTGATTTATTAACTCGCCAATTAAATCATCGATGTACGTAACAGAGGCGTAATACGACTGAATGATTAATTTGGCAAAACGTTCTAAAAAATATAAATTAATGTTTCTAATTAAAGCGATGGTATTATACGTATTATAATTCTAATTTACTTGGTATCTTTTGCCAGGGGAATCTCAGATTCAATGCCGCCACGTCGTCTCGTTTCCTTAAATCATTCCAAGGATTATAAGCTACGCTACTAACATTCTTTGGCCATTTATACGGCTCGACTATTTTAAATTTCTGCAATGGATGATACTTTAGATATCCTTCAGGATATTTGAACGGTATATGAGGCTTCTGAAAACCAACAGCTAAAAAGAAGGGAGTAACATTCCCTGCTTGATTAGATAGAAACCGTTTAGCTTCTTGCATAATCTCTATGTCTGGCAACGTTTTATTCGGCATTGAAGACACATCAACTGGGCAAACAAGATTTAACATAGGCTCTGTCGTTAAGTTTGATCGACACACGGCCACATTCTTGTATCTTTCCGTAAAAGGATGAAAGGGGATTTCAGACCAAGAGTAAGGGTAATCGTCAGAATGATTCGAACTGATTCCTGGATGAAATACTTTTCCTATAGCTTTCGTAATGTAGCCGTTGCTTCTCAAATGCTGGGGCAACGTTGTAAAATTGCCAACGCTTTCGCGCCAGTAACTGTGGGTGTCGTAAAGGCGAAGGGTGTCGGGTCTTCTACTTGTCAAAAATGAGTTTCTACTCGGCGCACACAGGGCTTGCTAAAAATCAAAATTATTTCTCTTCATTTCATTTGTCCTCTACAACAGTTTTATCAGATTTTATGCCTTCTTCTTATCTTTCAATTGAATTTCAAACTTTCGTGAACATCCCGCGAGAACACGTATGCTACGATTACGCTTGAATTATGATATTTTTTTAACTACGTTTACATAGTAAGGATAGAAAGATCTAAAGTAAAATCGTTATTTTCTCTCTAACCTGAGCGTATGCCCGATTGAAAGTGAAACCTTCCGTTGATAATTTATCTATATTCGGCGTGTAAGCCTTTTCGTCACCGTAAGATCCTAGAGCGGGCCTTAAATCGTCTACGATTATTAATAGGAAATTATGCCCCTCTGCCACGCACCAATTAATCACGCAAATAAAATATAACGTACAGAACATTTTTAACGTGTTAGAACACCCGCGTATGATCGTACTTGATTTAAGCAAAAGCCTCAGTAGATTGATATGGACCAAGGCTGAAGACTTAATAGAGAAATTGCCCTATTTCGATTTCACTTTTATACTTATATGCATGGATAACACATTGGACCGTGAGTCAACTGTAGGTAAAATGTTGCTCCGAAATCAGAGAATTACCTGTACATATTTTATAATAATGATAAAATTGGCTTCTGAGAGAGGCTCTACCTCTTTCAAATTTTCCTTAAATCTGCCGCTAGAATTGTAGGCATAATTCATTCTATGTTACGCAAAAATGTATTCAATCGTTGGTTTAAAATAAAAAAGCTAAGAAGAAAGTAAAGCTTCTACGCGGTTCACTCAGGGAACAAATAGAATTTTAATTATGTTGCGAAGCATCAGAACAGGAAACAAGAGATGATAGGTCACGAAGTGGTTTGTAAACTGGATTTGCATTACAGACCAACTCGCTATTGCACTTTATTTTCTTCTCAATGTACAGACATACAAATGAAAATGCTGGATAAAATGCTTACGTTCCTACGCATATGCCCTACCTACTTAATACGATAGCTACAACGATCATTATCTAATATAAATTACATCAAAATGATACAGTAATATAAAATAGTAAAAATTAGTATGGAAAGTCAAGAGTTTCATATTTCCTTGCGTATATTAACATACGCGCGAATTACTCTGCGATGAACTTCTGTTCTCTTTCGAACTTTATTCATTTGTCTATTGAACTTGCCAATCTAGGCTTGTCGGTCTACGAAACTGAATAATCGATTACAAAGATATTTGATCATCTTAGATATTAAGGATGTATTGGCTATACAGTCAATCCCAAAAGTTTATGTACCTTAGAAAAACGCATTTCCTATAATTAAAAAGAAATCAGACATCGGAAGAACAATGCTAATAATAAATAGCTACGTGCTAAAGAGTATAGANCAATACATCCTTAAATCTGAATTATAATTATACTTTAACACAAGATTCTTTTGAGGACGGTCAAACATTTTTGTGATCGATTCTATGTTTTGCGTTCTTATTCATTTATTATTTACTTAGCTTTAAAGTTGTTCCAGCTTCATTTCATATTCCCTCTTTTCGAGATAATTTAATATTTCTTAAGAGCATCTGTAACGATTATTTCTTTTTATGAAAATGACGACCGGGCTGTGGATTTTTACACAAAATTCCCACATTGGAGAAATCGGATTCGAACAGAAATGTTAATTCTCCAAATATTATAATGTGTACTTAAAACTACGAATATTTTTGTCTCGTACTATGTGAATTATCTGCACGTTTGAGTTATTAATAATCGCATAAAAATCCGCAGTCCGATAATAACAGTAAGATATGCTTAAAAACAGCGAAACATACTGTTATATTATGTTTCCTTTATAAGGATTAATATTCTTTAATTGTAATGCCTATAAAAGTTTTCAATATTAATACAAAAGAACCGAACTTTTTTAAATTCCATATTTGGTAATGAGAAAATAGCGGGATTTATGAAACGGTCTAGTAACTGATTAATAAATAGCGGATTTTATGAACTTAGAAGAGTATTGAATATATCAGAAATTTAAACACTGCCTCTAATGTATAAAACTGTATAGAATATCAAGAATAATAATTAAATACTTATTGCAATATTTAAACGATAGAATTAATGTTTACCCAAAAATACATTTTTCATACTGATACCATAAATAATTGATTTTGCTGATGAAAATCTGCAGTCCATTAATTAACAAGAGCCGTCGACATTAAAATCAGTAACGCAGAAGTTAAAAAAAAATGACTAGCCAAAAAGACGAGGAATCGAATATGGGAGGAACGATAATTTGCTTCGCGATTCGAGCAATCACGGGCGCAGAGTTGCTCGTAAAATAATAGTGATTTTTAAATATGAGAATTGAAAAACCTGATTAGCGAAATAATAATGATGAGAATCGACATTACTTTCCCGCCAATCTAACTTGATGATCAACGTTAATTATTTATCGTCGTATTTCAACTTACTAGTTAATCTCAAGTCAATCCCGAGCTTCCTTCTTAACGATCGACGACAATCTCTGTTGCTCGTCAGTGCTTATCGTACAGTCATTTACATTAATATTACTCTTTGCTTTCGAGTCAGTCTTAAAGTTTACTTGCGGGTTCGTAGCATCATCTTTAAACATCTCGGCGTAATGAAAACTACTCCCATTCCCAGTCTTCGCTTTCGCGTTTGTGCCAGCGTTATTGCCGTTCGCGTGACACTCGGTGAAGTGTTTAACAAGCAACATCGTCGTGCTGAACTCTGATTCGCATCCAGGAATCTTGCAACTGAAACACGCATTTTACGATCTAGCGTAATTTCTTGAATGTTACAACAATTCCAAGCCGTACGTTAGAGTAAAAAAACTGACCGAAATATTTCGTTATTCTTCATTCCTGGTATCGGCAATTTCGAATTAGCATGATTGTCCTGGTAATGTTTCCACAAACCAGTCACGTTGCTCACTTGTGCTCCACAGCCAGGAATTTTGCATCTAATTAATAAACGATTAATTACGCATATCTTGTATTCACAATGAGGTAAACGTCCCAATTTATGTTCTGTGTGAATAAAGATTGGGACGTTTACCTTGTATTGTAATAATATCGTTGAACTTACAAGAAAAAACTGACGGTTGAAGCTTTCCCTTGCTTTAATTTCACTAGTTTGTTCGAGTTCGAATTGACTGTATTCATTACTACCTTGTGACTCTCTTGGTGGTGACGATAATGGGATATGTATTTATACTTTCTCCCGCAGCCGTTCACGCCGCATTTATAAATCTCTTGCTTGTACCTGGACATGCGCTGCTTCTTCGGCGTGTACTCCTCGTCGTCCGAGCAATTGCTATTCGTTTCCGCGTTGTTCTCCTCAGTTTTGAGAAACACCCTCTCGAGATTATCCAGCTCGGCCCTATGCTCCTGCGTCCTCGAATTAATACCGCACATTTCATTCTTTGTGTTATTCTTCGTGATAGTAATATCACCGTTCACGTAAATCACGTTGGCTTTCTCTTGGGAGGAATGTTCCGTCTGCAATTCCGAACATTTGTTCGCGTTACCTTCGTACTTGCACAGAAAATTCTCCGCGTTCAGAATCAGATTTTCGTTCATAGAAAAATTGCCAGTCTCGTTTAGAGATTCTCCGGCGGAAGAGTAATTTTCCTTTGAACTATCATTCGTATTATTCTGTTCCTGATCGACTTCCTTCTTCTGTTGTTGCTGTACATTGTCATTTCTGTGAACGTTTTGCTCGTTGTTATCGTCGTACTGGCGTACTTTTATCCCGAATGTATCGCCACTTCTCTTCTCATACTCTTCCGAACTCTGTACAGCTTCCTCTTCCACTGTGTTTTCGGGATCCTCGAAGCATATTACTTCGGGCTCGGTCGGTAGTGGCAACGGTTGCCTATGACAGTTCTCGATATGTTCTTCTAGACTGATACTGGTCGCGTGTAAAGACCCGCAATTCGTGTACGGGCATATAAACACATTTGTCTCATTGTTATGCCATTCCTGATAATGACGCCACATGCTCCCAGGATCTGACAATTCCTCCCCACATCCTGGTTCCCTACAACTATCATCGAATTTTGCTATATCACAGACTTATAGGTATTTCACAATATTTTATTCGATTTATTATTGTGGCTAATGTTACATACATAAATCTTATCTTTAAAGCTTCAAGAGCCTCGTGGGTCTTATACTCATCTTGATTGGTAAACGTCTTGCCACAACCTCGTTGCTTACAAGTATACACTTCCTAGAATTGTTGATCTAAATTAACATCATGTCGAGCTCCCTAATAATGTTTATAATTTGGATACATAGACTGAACATTTAAAACATAAGAATGAAAATGAAAATGAATTATTTTATTGTCATATATATATAATCATTATCATTATCATTGATCATTAGCTTGAAAACTGACAATCGTATAAGATCATAGGAGATTGAAAAATGCGGGTGTACATGCATTCGTCGAACGATTTGTTTTGAGTTAGAGGTCGTTGAACCCTTTCAGTTAAATGGCTCCGGCGAATTTTACCTTTTTAGGTGCGATTTCCTCGATGGTGCGATTCCTTGAAACGAATCGGATCACGCTGACTTCGGCGGGCCTGTCTGTGCAGGTGTCCGTGCCCTGGCCCATCCTGGCAAGCCGAACTTTGCGTCGACGATAACGGCGAACGACGCGGCTATTCCGACACTCACATAACCTTCTCACCAATGGGCACTGGCAATTTTCACGCTCCTTGAATGAAAATTATGCATATACGGTCGTGTACGCGGACGATACGCTCCGCCGAGCCGCTTACCAACAAAAATTCGACTGGCCGTCGGCCCAAAATATACCGCCACTCTTCGCGCCTCACATTTTAATCATCGTCAATAATATCAATCACTTGTTGTCATTTCAAAACCCCGGCTACTCCATCCTCCATTGGAGCACTGTAGCTGCATAGTCTTCTTCTTCCACCATTACGAAACTTCGTCCCGATACATCATTGAGAACCACTGACGGAGGATATCGCCAGTGGCGAGGGTGGCGAGTCAGATCTGATTTGAATTCAAGAGACACTGATGAATTTAAAGATATTGATATATTGTATATAAAAATAAGTAAAATCCGGTTCTC